GCAGCTACCTCGCGTACGATCGAATTGATCACTTGCTCGTCGCCGTGAACCGTCTAATCTATACCGTGCATCGACCTGACATGTTGATTGTGCACGCCTTCGCAGGTCTCGTGAAGACTGTCTCAAGTTCAGCGTGCACCTCCACCGATCAAGCAACGGGCTACCGCTGTGTCGCCTCATAGTTGTTCTCCCGGCTGCACCGACTCGTGTCATCGCTGCGTCGCCCTTCGGGCCCGCCGCTGCCCTGAGGCCGTCCGCTCCAGGTCCTCCCCGTGGCTGCACCGACCCTCGCGCCACCGCCACGTCGCCCTGTCGGGCCATCGCGAGCGTGGCACGCGGTCCATGCTGCCATCTCGAGATTGTTCCCGTGGTTGCACCGACCCGAGTTCCGCCGCTGCGCCGCTCCTTCGGGTCATCGCGTCGCGGCCCGCGGTCCCTCCCTCCGCCCCAAGGTCTTCCCGTCGTCACCCCGACCTGCCCGCCGCCGCTGCGTCGCCTCTTCGGGCCGTAGCACCGCGGCCCACGTCCACCGCCGTCCCCGCGTGTCGACCTCTCGTGGTATGCGCCGCGCCACCTCCCTTGGCGTAGGAACTGAAGGAAATATGCCCTAGAGGCAATAATAAAGTTGTTATTTATATTTCCTTATATCATGATAAATGTTTATTATTCATGCTAAAATTGTATTAACCGGAAACTTAGTACATGTGTGAATACATAGACAAACAGAGTGTCCCTAGTATGCCTCTACTTGACTAGCTCGTTAATCAAAGATGATTACGTTTTCTGATCATAGACATGTGTTGTCATTTGATAAACGGGATCACATCATTAGAGAATGATGTGATGAACAAGAACCATCCGTTAGCTTAGTATAATGATCGTTTAGTTTTATTGATATTGCTTTCTTCATGACTTATATATGTTCCTCTGACTATGAAATTATGCAACTTCCGAATACCGGAGGAACACCTTGTGTGCTATCAAATGTCACAACGTAACTGGGTGATTATAAAGATGCTCTACAAGTGTCTTCGATGGTGTTTGTTGAGTTTGCATAAATCGAGATTAAGATTTGTCACTCCGAGTATCGGAGAGGTATATCTGGGCCCTCTCAGTAATGCACATCACTATAAGCCTTGCAAGCAATGTGACAAATGAGTTAGTTATGGGATGACACATTACAGAACGAGTAAAGAGACTTGCCAGTAATGAGATTGAACTAGGTATGAGGATAACGACGATCGAATCTTGGGCAACTAACATACCGATGACAAAGGGAATGACATATGTTGTTATGCGGTTTGACCGATAAAGATCTTTGTAGGCGCCAATATGAGCATCCAGATTCCGCTATTTGTTATTGACCGGAGATGTGTCTCGGTCATGTCTACATAGTTCTCGAACCCGTACGGTCCGCACGCTTAACGTTCGATGCCGATTTGTATTATGAGTTTTGTGTTTTGGTGACCGAAGTTTGTTCGGAGTCCCGAATGAGATCACGGACATGATGAGGAGTCTTAAAATGGTCAAGGGGTAAAGATTGATATATTTGACGATGGTATTCGGACACCGGAAAGATTTTGAGACGTTTCGGATATTTATCGAGGAATCGAGGGGTTACTGGAATCCCCGGGGAAGTTATGGGCCTTAATGGGCCATAAGGAAGTAGGAGAGGGCAGCCCGCAGGGTGCCCCCCAAGGGAGTCCGAATTAGACTAGGTGGAGGGGGCGCGGCCCCCTCTTTCCTCTCCCTCCTCTTCTTCCCTCTTCCCCCCTCTTAGAATAGGAAAGGAAGTCCAACTAGGATTCCGCCTTGGCGCGCCCCCTCATGGCCGCCGGCCTCCTCACTCTCCTCCTTTATATACGGAGGCGGAGGGCACCCCAAAGGCACATCAATAGTTCATTAGTCATGTGCAGTGCCTCCCTCTATAGTTTACTACCTCAGTCATATTGTCGTAGTGCTTAGGCGAAGCCTTGGGCGGATCACATCATCAACACCGTCACCACGCCGTCGTGCTGACGAAACTCTCCCTCGACCCTCTACTGGATCAAGAGCTTGAGGGACGTCATCATGCTAAATGTGTGCTGAACACGAAGATGCCGTACACTCGGTACTTGGATCGGTTGGATTGTGAAGACGTTCTACTATGTCAACCGCGTTAACATAACGCTTCCGTTTTCGGTCTACGAGGGTACGTGGACACACTCTTCCGCTCTCGTTGCTATTCATCTCCTAAATAGATCTTGCGTGATCATAGGAATTTTTTTGAAATTACATGCTACGTTTCCTAATAGGAACGCCACCGTTCACGCCGGTCTTCATCACGCTGTCGGGTTCCTCGCCTATTTCGAGCACCGCCGCCGCGCTACTAACCTAGCCGTGTCACCGCCACCACCGCTCTTCTTCGGCCGCCGCTACTTCCGTAGCTGCCACCGCCACCGCCGCTCTTCTTCGACGGCCGCCGCCGCTACGTCTGTAGTCGCCGTCGCCCGTCCACCCCCTTCGTCTTCGTCCAGGCACCAGCCCGTCGCCAGCGTCGTCGTCATCTACCCCTACCACTTCGTCTACTCCGATCATCGTTGATGACATCGGCCCCGCGCCGATGGACGCCTCAATCGTCGTCGAGTTTTTCTCTAATGGCCCCTCCGACTTCTCCAACATGGCGTACAGCTCGTGCAGGTCTCTCATCTATGCATGCCTGGCACTGGCAACACTGGTGCGTGCCTTCGTCTGCGACGTGTCCCCGGGCCTGGCAAGCCTGGAGTGGCGCTTGGTGAACTTCGTCTTCGTCTGTCTACGCATGCCTGGTGCTGGCAACACCGATGCGTGCCTTAGTCCACGACGTGTCCCCAGGCTTGGCAAACCGGCGCGACGCTTTGTCAACACCGTCTACCTCCCGGCGCACCCCTACTTCGACATCACTGCGCCCAGGCTAACCCGGCGCCTCCTTACGCCCGTGGCTCCATGACGTTTCCTCGACACCGGCTACCCCGACTCGACATCGACCATGTCATTCTTCGCACGGCTACCTCGACCACGGCTACACCACTCTATGCTCTCGGCTACCTCGACATCGGCACAAAGGGCTATCATCCGCTTGAGCAACTCGCCGGCTTCCTCTACAGTCAACGCGTCCGCGACGCGACACCGTCCACAACGCTCCCACTACGACTGCGGGGGGATGTCAGCCCCTCGGCTACTATTCTCTCCAGTCTGACCGTCCGCGACGCTCCTGTTGTCTGCGACGCTACCGCTATGACTGCACGGGGATGTCAGCCCGTCGGCTACTATTCTCTCTAGTATAACCATCCGTGACGCTCCTGTTGTCTGCAACATTACCGCTACGACTGCGAAGAATGTTGGAGATATATTTGGGTTACTTGTATTTGGTAGTGTAGGATTTGTAATCCGTCTCCTACCTTATCTTCAGGAGAGGCTTTTTGCCCTTCAAGTCTTTTACTCAATATATACTCGTCATCGAGGCTCAATAATACATCCATCATATTCCGCAACAATCCCTCTCTCCCTTCTAACACACACTGCCAATGAGTGCAACACGAAGACGTCCTCGATTTCTCCAAGAATGTATGTGTAATTTTAATTTTTTACTAACTGTAAATTTTTATAAGACGGTTTTAGAGTCTAGAACAGAGTAAAAAAATGTCTTATATTAAGTTAAGAGAGAGTATTATGTGTCGACTTTGTGCATGGCCGAGAAGACATATTTTCTATACCTACTAATAAAGCAAGGTGCGTTTCGTTAATTTTTCATCCGTTCACCACCCAAAATAAAAAAAATTCTATTCAAGGTGGTACTAAATTCTTATGCGTTTGACTGCTAGCAAAAGAAAGCTTTTCCAGAATTTCGGAAGTGGCTGCACGATATGGCCCAATGAAGCCAGCCCACACGCCCATTTTTCTTTGTTTCTGTGTTTTATTCTATTTTTATTCTCCTTCCCTTATCTCCTTTTCCACTTCCAAGTTTACTTTTCTTATAGAATTTAATTAATAAATTCAAAATTCTCAGAAAACGTTCAGAATTTCAAAAAAATCAAATCATAGAAAATGTTCATAATTCCAATTTTTTCCCTATTTTGACATATATACAACACTTGAAAAAGTTTCCCATTTTTTTGAAAACTTTATTCTTTTCAAAATTGTTGAGATTTCAAAAAAGAAAACAACAATTTAGAAAATTCTCCAATTTTTTTAAAAAAGTGAAATTTTAACAATTCAAAATAATGTTAAAAGATGCACATTTTCGAAAAAGGTTATGAATTTTTAACACATGTTCCTATTCTAAAAAATTGTGCACAAATTCAAGTAATGTTCATGTTTTTATGAAAAAAGGGTTGGTGTTTGCAAAAAATGTTTGTGAATTTTAAAAGATGTTCCTATTTCAAATTTTGTTCACGTTTTCTGAAAGTGTTCATAATTTTGAAAAATCTTTAAAAAATGGTTCATGTTTCCTACAATATTCAGAAACTTCATACCCTAAAATCTCCTCGATTGAAAGGAAAAGTATTGAATAATTCGTGGGCCTTCTCCGGCGTACGATGGCGTAACAAAACTCTTAAATGCCCTTATTCATATGAATGAAAAAATAGCGGATTGATTACTCTACACCCGACGAAACCGAGAAGATAAATGTTCCTTTTTCACATGTGCACAAGGTTTTGCTTGCACATATAATTCTCACTAATTTTAAATACGTACCAATTTTTGTCCCATTGCAACGCACGGGTATATGTGCTAGTATCTTCTCTTCTGCTTTCTCTGAACCAAACAAAGAGGCCATAAAAGTGGACACGTTAGTGCCAGTGGCTCCGGGCGTTCAACCTTAGCCCTCCACGTCCAATCCAACGGCCAAAGTTGCTACTCCTCATTTCATTTCTCACGAGCAATTCTAATCTGATAACACAGCTTAGCAAGGGGCTTACATGAACCACCGGCCATCACCGGACTGTCCGCGAAACCAGCTACTAAAATGAAAATGAAAGCTACTGCGGTGCCAGCCCGCTGTCGTAGTCGCTGCCCCTCCGCGGCCCATTCTGCAGGTTTCTCTCGAACTCCCTCAGGTAGTCCAGGAGCAAAACGATCACAAAGAGGATGAACCCACCGGAGGAGCTGCTGCCACCACCGCCGCCTCCGCCGCCTCCTCCGCCGAACCGAAACGGCGGGAACCCGACGCCCCCGTCGTCGAGCCTCGGCTTCACCTTCTCTGCGATCAGGTGCCACCCAAGCAAAGAGGTAAGGAGATCATGCGACAATGCCATTGGAAGCACAGGTTTGCAGTGAACTCAACTTCGGAAATGAGACGAGGTTTGCAAGGAACAAAGCAGGGTTGCGCAGAATGCAGATGCCTTGCATTGCATTACCTTTAACTGAACCTGACGGTGGAGAGGTGGGTCCCGAGAACGATTTGCGCTTCGCGGTTTGCGTCTGGTTAGCACAGCACGTTATGTTCTGCAGGAAAAAAAAACATTCAGTGACGATCCGCGTGAGATGCTTCTGAATTTGATGGAAAGGGCAAAGAATCGAACGAATTAATCAAGTGTATCCTGTTACTTCTAATATGCAAGATCAAGCAACATTAACATCTCAGGCTTACAGATGACGGTAAAAAGATTTCCCTAGAACTAGACAACCTTATTTTGCTTGTAGGAATTCAGTTCTGCACAGTGAAAAGAAACACCTCTGTTTTTTTGCGGATTTTAAATAACTCTGAAGCTTAAAAACAACCAGTGCTTCAAATCCCCTCTTATGCACTCTTTTTGCCTAGCTAGCGCGAACAGCTTGCGTCGAAATTCGAAATCGACTGCACTGACATAATCTAGCCAATAAGAATATGTTGATCCCTTCTGTTTGCAAGGCCGGATAATCCTTCAGCTACACAATTATATATATATGAGATGGTCTCTGTCATGTTATAATGCGTACAGTATAGGTTTTCCAACTTTCTAGTGATTTCTGATATATTCGCTTCCAGACTTTTCCTCCAGCTATTTTGCAAGTTGAAAAATCCTGGCTTCCACTAAAATCTGAACGCCTTGAACCTTTCAGATTGTTTATGCGAGAAACCATTGAATTGCTTCCATGCATTATGACAAAACCCTATTTGAATTTCTTTCTCATTTTTGTGCCAAAAAACTATTGAATTGCTTCCACTAAAACTCTTACAAATTACACCTAATAAGTTACAAATAATTTAACCAGGTATAATCCATAACGGCGAGAAAAGAAGACAAGCAAGCATGCCATAGCACCACGCAAAACAAGTAGGCTCATCTTACTGCTTTCACACAGATGGAGTTGCTGAGCTTATTCCTCCGGGACTGCGAACCCGAGATAGATTGTTCTCCCCAGCTTTGTCCTACACAGAATATTATAAGTTCTGCATGAGCTTTGGTACACAAAAACAATACTAGTAGCAGTACGCGGAAACACCATCTCCTACTATTAAATCGCAGTAAAAAACGACCATCTTCCTTAGTACGTAGGGTAATCTTCTCCGCGGAAACACCAATACTTATTTTTGACACGGACAGGGGGGTGCAATTTTTTCAGAAATATGAAGTCAGAAAACAGAAAACCCCTGCAATTTGACTCAATGCGCATGCAAGTATGCAGTCGTAAAATGGCAGCAATTTCTGTCCCGGCGGCAGTTATTGGATAAGATAGGCAGAGTAGAGAGGTGGATGAACGGACGAGACGAGCGGCGCCAACCTGGTTCTCTCGCCGTCCGCTGGCGCGCCGCGGGCCGCAGGAGAAGCGAGCTCGGCGCGGACATTGTGGCGAGCGGAAGCATGGCGGCCGGCGGCGTCGACAGAGCGAGCTGGTCTCGTGGTGCAGCGCAGGGCCTGGACGAGAAAAATCACAGAGACATGGAGGACGGTGAGGACGAGGAGGAGGGAAGTCTGATTGCAAGGGAGTGACGGGGCGCGAGGTTACCTTGCAGCTCCGGATGAGAGCGCGGCCGGGGCTGTGCTGTGGTCAGAGCGAGGGACGACGACGAGGAGGAGCTGGAGGGCTGGGTGTGGTGGCGTTCATGGGCAGAAGAAGGTTATCCATTAGGAGGGCCATTTTTCTTAAACTAAATTTTAAAAAGGGGCTTGTAGGAACTTGCATTTTTTTTCGTTTCATTTGTACGGTTGATTTGTTTTATTTTGAAGTTTTTCTGTGGCCTATTCTGCACTTATTTTTTCGCTCATTCAATCTCTATGTCTATGAAACAAATACTCCCTCCATTTCAAAATATAGTGCGCCCGCGCTTTTCGAGGTCGAACTTTGACCATAAATTTAACGAATGAGACCGACTGCGGCGGGAGAAAAAGTTATATAATTAAAAACGTCTTTTAAATACGAATTCACTGATATAACTTTTGCTCCCGCCACAATCGGTCTTGATAGTTAAAATTACGGTCAAAGTTGAAGCACGGGGATAGAGAAAGCACTACATTGTGAAATGGAGAGAGTATATTTTTTTAGGGAACGGCGTCATGGTTAACCTCATTGATTTGGGAAAATGGTGACATCGTTTGTGATATGGGCCACTGTGAAACTGATACCCCTCCGTCAACAAATATAAGAATTTTAGATATTTTAAAGGAAAAGCTTATCTTCAACCGGCCGGTCGCGCAGTCCACCGTTTTTACAACTGAGCAGTTGTTTTTGAAGGGAGAATTTACAACTTCCTGGCCCTTTTTTGCAGCGGCGGTGACTCTTGCGGCTGGAGGGCAATGGAGCCATGGAGGCGAGGAATCTCACGAGATCCGACGAGGATGGGGCGCGGGCAGGAGGCGGGAACGTCCAGGAGCCGCGAGGGACGGCTACTTGTGCGGCTAGGAGGGCGACGACGGTGAGGATTCCAGCCATATCTCGCCGGATTCGACAAGGATGACCCGTGGGCAGGAAGTGGAGACGTTCGGGAGCGGCGGGGGCTCGTCTCGGCGAGGTCCGGTGGGCTTGACAGCGAGCGTCATAGCAAGGACCTGCGACAGTAGCGGCTCACGGTGCTCCTGCGGCGCATGATGCTCCTTCAGCAGAGCATGTTTTCTGAACAAAGCTCTTGTTGCGATAGTAAGTTATGTTTCTGAAACAATGCTCTTGTTACAAAGAGAAACTATACGCAGAGATGCTTTTGACAGTGTCATCAATGTTTCTGAAACAAAGCTCTTTTTTGCAATAGTCACTAATGTTTCGGAAACAAAACTCTTTGTTGGAATAATCACCGTTGTTTATGAAACAACACTCTTGTTGCGAAATGGGATAGTATGTTAAGCAACTTATATCGGACGGCACATGAGGTGGCGGATTTTTTAAAAAGATCTGCTGGCCAACACGTAACACTTCCCATAAATGATTCGATTCGCGGAATAAAAAAACAATCAAGGATATACAACAAATATGTTCTACCGCAGCAACACAAATATCTCTCAGCTAACTCCTAAACCATCGGTGATTCGTGCGGATTTTGTCTTTTTTTAATCTTGGTTATGTTTTACAGCGTTTGTTTTAGTTCTATTTTTTCCTACCTGCAACTACAACCTTGTCAGCCTCGCGTAGTTACAGTTGCACACGCACCTCGTCGTGCAGAACTGCAGTTATACATATGTCGATCTAGCACAATTACATGTAAGTCACTCACGCACAACTATATATGAGTGCACACACACCTGCCGGCACACAACCACGGTTACATGCCCGTCCGTGCCCAACTACAGTTGCACGCACGCTGTAATATTAGTTGTACATCTCTTCTCGGTCCCACTCGTAAAAATAAAAGCATGAAAAGAAAAAGGAAATGAAGAAAGAAAATGATAAACCAAAACTCAAAGCAATTGACGGGGCATAGGCTCTAACATCAAATTGCAAAAAAATCCCCTATGAGTCTAATAATTACATGTGGGTCCAGCAACTCTGTCTAACCGTTGGATCGGAAACCTAACGGTTCATGAGAGCTCGTATCACGAGAGCCCGGAAGGCTCGGGAGCACCTTATACTTCCCTGCTACACACAATAAGTTAGGCAAGTCAAGGTGAGCTAGGCTAAGGAACGGGCCCGTATCTAGGCAGGTGCATCCGGAGCAATGGCACAGGGCCCCAAAAAATTAGGGGCCCCAAAATTTCTCTAAGTACCAGTATTTCCATAATTATCAATGGGTTAACTGATTCTAAAAAATGGTTAATTGAAGTCTAATGAGCCATTAATCAGTATGGTTGAAAGATGTAAGATTGTTACTAATCAAAAAAAAACTAAGATTTCATATTAATATGGAAAGATAGTACTACTTTTTCTATTTGGCAAATGGTAATTCTTGGAACACGTATGCAAAAAAAACATTTTTAGACTTTTCTACCCATGGGACCTAATTTTAAGTTTGCACAGGGCCCCATGTTTTGGAGGTACGGCCCTGCTAAGGAAGCTTAAAACTTTTACAGCCATGTATGAGTTTTACTGAGGGAGACTAGTATAGTGTCTCACATTAGATGAGATCAATTTAAAAAAAACAAAACATGTGAATAGTGGCAACTTTGGGTGAATAGTGCAAAATACAATTCACTCAAAGTTTCCACTATTCACATTCAACTTTGTATATATTTTTTCAATCTTGTATACAGACCTCACATATATGGTTTCAAATAATTTTAGAATTTTTAAATATGAATTTTTGTGGTTGATCTTATTGATCTACCTAGGGTGAGATTCTATACTAGTCTCCCCCGATTTTTACCATGAAACCAAAGTGTTTTCATCCTACGTTGGGCAGGGTCACGCCACTATTTCTCTTGTGTGTACCTCTGCCTCTATGTTTACTTTTGGGGGATACAAAACCATTTTTCTATACAGATTTGTGTCATTGTGATGATTTTTTTTTTGAAAATTATTGCAAAATATATTTATATGTGAAATTTAGTATCTTGAAAATTGCTATCGAACCATACTTTTTGTGATTTTTTATGAAAAGTCACGTCTAATTAATATATTTCTAATGGTATATGGTATATCCTTCAGACACATAATTACAAGTTATTGCAAAAATAGAACAAAAACTAGTTGGGAACATGAAATTCACTTTTTTTCTTCTTGAAGGTCACTGCCCATGCCGGGAAGTTCACTGTAGCACGCAAAAGTTCCCTTTCCCCATGAGAAGGTAGTTTTTAGTCATCAAACTGATGGTGGCCATGTCTACTTCATTCACACAAATTTTCGTCTCTCCCTATTAAATTGATGGAAATTCCCACAGATGAAGTGGACCTTCCCGAATAAAGTGAACTCTTGCCAAAAAATAAACTCCCCGCACAGACGAACATAACATCCTAACAAAACGTTTGATTTTTTAGTTCAGGAACTCGTCAAAAGGTAAAGTTTTTGTTAATACATTCACTTTTTTATACGTTCATTAGGCGATCATGTCTACTTCCTATACTTGAGTTGATGTACTTAGTTTGAGAAATGCCTGGATGGACCGGGAGTCAGCTCTTCCCGGCACAAGTCGTGCTATCATTGAGCCAGAATTAGATGGACTCCATGGTAGCATTGATACAAAAGCAAGCAATACGAGACAAATATGCAGGGGTAGAGGCCCACCACTAAAATAGTTGGGCAGTACAGGCACAACTTTCCCATTTCACTCTCATTTTTCTCCTGTGTGACGGCTCCACCCAACGCAATCGATGAGTTTTTGTCAACGAGAAGCAGTAGTGGTGGCTCGACTTGGGTCTCAAGGGCCAGGAGCATGGCAAGGAAGGAGGGCATCCCTCCCAACACCGGCAGCTAACATCTCATGGATTGAGTGACTATAATCGTCTGGGTAGGAAACTCAAAAAACATAAGAGTAGTGTTGAGCATTTAACAAACATGAATACATGAAATGAACTTAGATTGATTCTAAGAAGAAAAGATCAATCAATTGATGATGACATGAACAAGAAATTGCGGAGTAAAAGGAGCGTTGGAGACATGTTTGGTGAGAATAGTTTTTGTTGTGAAGTTTCTTGCAAAACTTAATGTGGCTTTTCGAGAATCAAATGAGAAGTTGTGTATCAGGATAATAATGGTGATTTTCTGGGCACGATTGAAATGATTGTGAATTTGATCATGTGATGCAAAAATGCATTAAGAACATTAAAAATAATTAAATTCATCATCATTATCTAGGCCACAATATTCAGAATGAGTTAATTTCAGATTTTATTGATGTTAAGAGAAAGGTTATCTTAAAGATCATCAAGGATGTCAAGTGTTTCTCTATTGTCATGGATTGTACCATGGATGTGGGCCATGAAGAACAAGTGACTCTAATTGTGCGTTGTGTGAACATGTCAAGTAACTTTCCGAGAGTTGAGGAGTTTTTCCTAGAGTTCTTAAAGGTTGATGACATGTCTGAATTGGTGGTTTTAAGGTATTCATGGATACATTGGGTTCTCTTGATTTGGACATCTCTGATATGAGAAGTCAAGGTTACAACAATGGTTCCAATATGAGCGGAAAAGGCAAAGTTGTTCAGAATCATTTGCTTGAAATTAACACAAAGCATCATATATGCCATGTGCATGTCATAGTTTGAATCTCACTCTTTGTGATATGGCAAAATCTTGCAAACAAGCTATTGCATTCTTTAGTGTTATCACAATGGATATACATATTATTTTCACATTCTACTCGAGGGGGCAGGATTTTCTTGAGAATGTTCCAAATCTTACTGTCAAACCTTTGTCTAGTACCCGTTGGGAGAGTGTAATAAAGATCGTGCAACCCATCGGGTTCCAAATCCCCAAATAAGACCAACCTTGGAGGAACTAAAGG